ATAAATGAATATTATACTTTTTCTCTCTCTTTACTACTTATCTAATTTATAAATATTGAAGATAAGAACGAAAGAATCGCGATGGTAATAAAATTATATTAGTTCTTCATAAAAGGGAAAGCGAAAAGATTGCCAGCATGAAATAATAATTCTAGAACAAGCAGGAAAGAATTAAATTTCCAACACTTAAATAAAATATACTTAGCGAAACAAACTTGACGAAATTTATTCAGAAAGTACTTGGAGAAAATTAATTGAAATAAATATTCAAGAAAATTTGGCACGCGCACGTTATGCAAGAGCCTTTTGCACTTAAAGGACAATCATAAATGGCGATACTCTGAAATATGTTACCGATTTTTTAGCACAGATTATCGTTAATTTTTAAAATCCTTAAAATAGACGAATATTATACTTTTTTATCTCTCTTCACTATTTATCTAATTTATAAATATTGAGGATAAGAACGAACGAATTGCGATGGTAATAAAATTATATTAGTTCTTCATAAAAGGAAAAGCGAAAAGATTGCCAGCATGAAATAATAATTCTATAACAAGCAGGAAAGAATTAAATTGCCAACACTTAAATAAAGTATACTTAGCGAAACAAACTTGACGAAATTTATTCAGAAAGTACATGGAGAAAATTAATTGAAATAAATATTCAGGAAAATTTGACACGCACACGTTACGCAAGAGCCTTTCGGACTCAAAGGACAATCATAAACGGCGATATCTCCTGTATATTAGCCGGACCCGGAGGTCGTACGTAAAACGGTGAACGATGTCGCATGACACGAGAGGCGGCACCCCGTTCAAACTCGTTTGCACGCTCTGCTCCGAATGGTTTACACCGATCGGCCCATTGTGTTACCTCGTGTATCATGCAACGCCGGCTTTCGGATTGCGTCGTCTTTCTGTGTGGTCCACACGCCGGACGTAAAGTTTTACGAGTTTACCTCGCGGGATAACGCGCCTTTTATACTTGGTGTTTCGGGGATAAAATATAAGCCATGAAATATACAATCTCTCTCCCTCTCTGCCTTCTTCTCGGGTATACACGCATTTTACGCGTGTATACGCATAAATAGGTTACTGGATAGATAGGTAGGTGCAGTCGAGCGAACACAAAGTGGCGGGAGATCTCGGTACGTTGCCGGGTATAGAGACTAATGGCATAGACATAAATGTCCGCGTTGGGACGAGAGTAAGGTAAACGTCGCTCGCGCAGGCATTCTTAGATAGGCGAATAGAAATGCGGATGGATATGTGGACGTGTTACTCTGCTACTCGGCGATCCGAGTGCGATACAGTTGGATGCTGCGAAGGAAATAACGGACTTCGTAATACATATTGTAAGATACGGAGAGGATAATCGAAGAATTCATATACAAATATCGACGCATGGTCTCGTAAACAAACGATAAAAAAATGATTATGGCATGGTGATAACGAAAAGGGAGACGCGATTAGATTGCGGGGACAAAGAATACAGTGATTGCTCTAATCGGCCAGTTTACGCGCGCTTACGTTCTGCGAATAGACAAATGTTGTTTATTGCACTGTATGAAATCTCTAGGGGACTCGATGAATTTTAATGCTCGTTACTAATCAGTAATGACACTCGGTAATGGATGGTTTATGAATCTCGAATGGATCAATAAAGATTAGAGATTAAGACTTTAAGTATCTGTTTCATCATTGATCTCTTCTCTTTAAGGATAAGATAAATATAAATAGTAAGAAAAATATATAGGGTAAATTTGATTTGAAATGGAACGAATAGATACGCAAGATGTTAATCTGTGATATTTCAATGAAAATAAATATTTTTTCTTTTACGTAAAATACTATCTTATCTTTGGAGAAGAGGAGATAACTTTGAAATAATAAATCGTGTTTTTTCTCTCTTATGGTAGGTAAATCACATCGTTATACATAAATAGTTATGCGTACTTTTACTTTGTATCTCACACCGGTTCTCATGAGAGGCAGATCCACAAGAAACACGGTTTCCACTTGACATTAGCATCCGAAGCGCTGAACTTATAGTCTAACAAATTATCATGCGTACACATACCACGTTCATTTATCAGTTTAATTAGCTAGATATTTCTTATTCATCGTGTAAACGTCATTTCGAAAATAATCATATCTATCTCTCGGATATTTCGTAGGTTCATTCATCATCACACGAGCGCGATAAATCCTCAGATGTACATTCGATAAACTTATAAACCTATTTGCCATTGATGTTCGCTCGATTTGCAAGGAATCGCCAAACATGTTCCGTCGAGATGTGAAATATCGCGCGATCGATCTAAATCTAAATTCGTTACAAGTCACGGAAATTCCCTAGTCTATCAATGTTGCATTAATATTCTATTTGTATTCATGGAATCAGAATTAGAGAGGGCTCTCTGACGATACTTAATATATATGTATATATTTTTATACAACAAAAGTTGTAAAATTCCGCGTAAGTGGCTCTGTCTATTAGACAATCTTCATCAGCGATCGAGCGGATAATAAACGTCACGAGGGAGATAAGACGTAAGGTCAATCTGTCAGAATCGCGCGCGGGCCCGCTGTGACATTTATGAATATCGATGCGTGACGTATATAACAGACATACGATGCAGAAGGAGATGAAGAGAAAAAGACAAAGAGAGAGAGAGAGATCTTGCCATAGAATATTCGCTTTTGCGTCTCACAGGCGGATCTCACGACCGACGCCAAGACGAATAAATCATCTCGTGATGTGTACGCGCATCTGCATTCCTCGGGAGCCTCGCGTGCATTAAGGCCGTTCCGATCGCTGCCGGGGTGTGAATGCTCGCGTATGTACGTATACGTCCGTCTGTGCACCTTTTTCTTCCTCCTTTTCTCGCCGCCAGGCCTGGAACGAATTGGAACGCGATAATCGCGGCTGACCGTTGTAAAAGGAGAGAGATCGGCCGAATTATCGGATAATCCGGGGCCATTTTTACGCTCTCGTCGTCCCGGGACGAATAGAATCACCCGTGAAACGTTGAGGTTAATAATTATGTACTCTCTCTTTTCAAGGGACGATCTCTCGCGGCGACTCTTTTATATCGTGATTTATTTATTTTTTTTTTTTATATATATATATAAATTCCCGACGTTCTTGTACGAAAATAAATAAAATCGCCAGAGATATTTTTATTCATACGTGGACGTACAATGAAAATAATGTATGTGGGTAAGATAAATTATCGCGACACCCTTTATTTATCGATGCTATCTGTTTCTTGTCTTGCGCTTCCGTACAAGGGGGACGCGATGTCTTTCGCATGTTCGTTCGCTAGATAGAAGATGACATGTTTTTTTTACGATTGAAGCGAGTAACAAAGGTGGACGTTAATTGACGGGACAGAAGCGTCATTATCGATTTGAGTGGCTCGAGTCGCATAATTAATCACCGGTCATCGAGAGGAGGGTGATCCCAGTCGTGCTCGATCGCGATTTTTGATCGATCCCAAGGCGATCCGGTAATTATTCGACGTAATGGTACGTCGTAAGAAGAGCCGGCTCTTCTCTGACGCGCTAACTCGGCCAATCTTTAAATAGTCAGCCAACGATAATTGGATCGTATGTCGGGAGGGGAAGGAGAGGGCTATTCTTCGCGTTCCGTTACAAATATGCCACGCTCATGTCGTCAATTAAGGTTTTTTCGCTTAAATATTCTGCTGACGAAAGTAATTTTCAAGCTGACGAGAGAAAAGAATTTCGACGAAAAGAGAAAGAGACAGCTTCAATCGTAAAGAAGTTTATTGTCGGCACATTTGTCAATTAATCTTGAGGCGAACTTAATTACAATAACGCAATCTTGGCATGTTTTCGCGCTTTCATACAGAGGTTTCTGTTGCAACCTTCCAGCTGATTTAAGTTCCTCGAATTTATTTATTTTTACTCGAGAGGGAGTCCCTTAAATCGCAACGCATGGTAATTTAATCACCGCGGACTTGATCGTCGCGATTCTATTCCCATTAACGGTAAACGAGACGAGAAGCGAAAATGATCTCGAGGCACCTTCCGGGCCTTGAACGAGTCGTCGGTGGCTTAATTGGCGAACATTACGTGACATACGGCGAGGTACACGACTCCCCTAGCCACGTCGGTGCCGGTAATGCAATCGTTGCTAGCGGAATCGTCGTTCGTGGATTGCTCGAAACAGTCGATCGATCTTAATCGCGCCATCGGTAACCGCGCGCGGTTTATCTCCGCTCAATTAATTGCAACGTGTCTGCCCGTTCGTGGAAAATGTTCAAGGCCGTTCAACGGACGCGGCACGAGTACGCAAATGTCAAGGAAGTGGACGAAGACGAAGAGCCTGTTACTCCGTCTCTGCTCCTCGCGTAAATTTTCTCTTTCTCTTTTTCCCTACTTTGTTTTTTTTTCCCAACCATCCCGCCATTAGTCAGGCTTTCTCATCGATCCCGGTAAAGCGCGTGTTACCCGCGATGCCGCTGCTTCGCGTCCCAATTAGAATCTCTCGATAATCGGTTCCGGCTCGATGCCATCTGACCCGCCAAAGTTTACGCGAAAATAAAAAAAGGATACGTGAAAATAAAAAAAAAATGAAAGGCTACGTGAAAATAAAAAATGAAAGGATGCGTGAAAATAAAAAAATGAAAGGATACGTGAAAATAAAAAAAAAATTCCCGATTCAGCGACTTCGCTCCGATATTTTTCTCGTCTACATCTCTTCAGGGGGATAAAGAGGGGTTTTATAGAATTCTCAAAAATGAAAATCTATATCTTGGTATATATATATACCAAGTAAAATATATGTATATATGCCTTGTGCACGTTTAAAAATTTTCGCGAACAATTAATGTTTAAGAAATTTACGCACTATCATCCGCGGTAGCTCTTAATCGCTCATTTCTTGTGTATCGTGTTGTTTAATACATGATAGAGCTTAATTCTTTATTAATTTATTAATTTGTTAAAAAAATGCTTGTCATGTTGCAGGAACCGAGGATCTCACGCTGCCAATATGGAGCGATGGATCGTGTACACGTTGATGCTGCAGGTCTTAGTTGCCATCGCACGAGCAACCGAGGATTTTCGGCACATCTTGTACGAAGGTAAGAAATTAATGGAAATTTATCAAATGCGTGATAAAAAAATCCGTAGCACGATATCCGTGGATTTTTTGTGATTTATTGTGAGAAATGTTGATGTTTAATCGCGTTATCTTTGAATTAGACTCCTAATCGTATTGACGGAAGGCTCTCTTATCACGATTTAACCGAATTGCTTGCCGCGTATAAAATCCGATAATTGTAATGGTTACGGGGCAGCTCGTCGAGTTTTTGCGCATAATTCGAGCGAGAATCACAATCTCGAATCTCGCTTACGTCGTTCCGGATGCGATAACCGCCTGATATTGATAATTTCGCGTTCCCGTTAATTGCTTTATCGCGATTAATTCGAGTAATGGACGGTAAAACGTATACGCGCGCGACGTGGATGGGGAAGCGATGATTCCACGCTGACTTGGCATTACCTGCGAACAGGATCGACGAGTCTCTAATCGCGATCTCGAAAACGGAAGCACTCTCATAACGGAAGGATAAAAATTCGCTTCATTCATCTAGATGCGTATTACTGCCATTAAAAACACGGCTGACGGACGTGAAAATGTTGCCCGATAGAAACGTGAGCTCTTGCACGTAACATGCGATCGATCGGGACTTTTAATCGTAAATTGAGGTTCTGTACATGAGTTTTGATAAAGTTATCAATCTGTTCAATATGTGCAAGATGTTTCATCATTATCACTTTATCTATATATATAAGATGATTCATAAAAAACATTTTTTTTTTTTTTTCAAATACAAGGACAAGATTTAAAAAAATTTTTCTATAGATAACATGATTCAATAGAAAAAAATCTTTTTTTCAAATATAAGGACAAGATTTTAAAAATTTTTCTATAGATAATACGATTCAATAAAAAAAATCTTTTTTCAAATACAAGAACAAGATTTTAAAAAATTTTCTGTGTCGATTATAGTTCATAAGATAATTTTGACAATAATTTTTAGAAATAGGAATTTTTCCAATACGTCGCATAATTTTCTATATCTTTAATATTTTGTAACTATAATATTCTAATACATTGTAACTATAATATTCTAAAATACATTAAAATAATCCTTTTTGTAACTTTAACTTTCTCAAACGCGTGAAATCATGCGTGATGCAGTGAAAAATAGGATTGTATTTTCAGTATCAAAAAACGAGAAATGATTAGTCTTTTTTGTATGGTTTTTTTAAATTGTAACAGATATTTCGATAGGATATATAATAAAAAATAAATATGGAAGATGAAATATAAAATAAAGAATAAAAAATAATTCGACTGCGCACAATAGATATTTTAATAGAATAAAAAGTAAAATTGCATAGAATATAAAATGTATATAATAGAAATATATAGAGAGAGATAAGATAGGTAAATAGAAACAAAATTCGAGACAGAATTTTATTTATTTTTCCTTTGTTCACAATTATAACGAAAAATTTGTTAATTAGCGATCGTTTACTATGATTTTAGAATTTTCAATATTAAATTATACTCCGAGGAGTCAAGCAAAATTTACTTGAAATTACTGCAAAAGTTAAGTTTCCTCGCCTTGCATTCTTTTAATCTAATATACAGCAGGGGAATAATTTCCGGTAGTAAATAACTCTATAATCATGCTTTCCATTAAGTTCGGAGGAGAAGTCGATTTCGTCAAAGAATGTTATTAACGAGAAAGCATTAAAGAGAAACGTTTCTTTATACGTCGTATCGATGATGAGGGATCGAGAAATAAATGAAGCGATCGAGATCTCCGCGTGAAATCATGCGTAATCACGAGAAGTAGGTGAATTTCCCCGAGAATAGTAACCGCCCTCCAACCGCACGATTTCCGTCCCGGAAGACGCGCATAAATCCGTAGCGAGCGGATCGAGCGACCGTGGACGTTTATGCAAATTTAATTTCGTCCGTAACCGCTCCTCCACGTCGACGTGTCGGATATAGGCATGGCTAATCGATAAAGAAAATATATCTCTACGTACGCATACGTGTACGCTTTTCGTCCGTGTATCGTGCGCACAGTGTCCACACTCGCGAGAGCAGGCCAGCCCATTAACATCTGGCAAAAATGTCGGACATTCAGGGCGCTACTTATCACAAGCAATGACCCACAATGTACAGTTACACGTAGGCGAGCTCGCGGCTCGATTATCGCGCGTTCGCGGCCCCGGGAGAGAAAACGCAGATCGTGTCGAAGATGTGGGACGTGTGGTCACCTATATGGAGAACAGATGCCACGCCCGTCAAACGGAAACCGCGCGGAAAATCTTACGCTCGACCCCGACTCAAATCTTAATGAGCTTAATGGATCGTTTCTGCGCTGAGAAAATCGTTTGATTGTACCAACAAGACGTCTGGTAGAAGACATTTTGATTGAACCAAGCGGAATTTCTAGTTATCACGATAAGACTCGATTTTTTTATAACTAGAACGTTTAATAGAATTTTGGATCAAGGATTTGATTTAGTATTTTCCAATTGGATCTATAAAACTTCTTGTTACATTAACTAAATATGGACACAATGATGTCATTTTTTTGTAAATTTATATAATATTTTATAGTAATTTATATAGTATTATTGTTCAGAAAATTTAGTAAATTTAACAGGAAGAAATTAATCATACTCATCTGGTAATTTCTGCACTGGGAAAAAAATCTGATTGCATTAATTAGAAATCTAATAGATTCAATTAGTATGTGTGTTGGAAAATGGACGAATCAGAATTCTTCTAGGAATTATCAGATGAGTATGATTAATTTCTTCCTGTTAAATTTAAAAAAAAATTTTCTTAATAATACAAAATTTACTTAAAAAATGGCATCACTGTGTTCATGTTTAGTTAATATAACAAGAAGTTTTATAGTTCCAACTAGAAAATTCTAACCAAATCCTTGTAGTAAAATCAATTAAACGATATAGTAAATGTAGTGAAATCAATTAAATTTCTAGTTATAAAAAATCGAATCTTATCGTGATAATTAGAAATTCTGCTTGGTTTAACGAAAATGTGTTCTATCAGATACGTCTTGTACAATCAAACGATTTTTCTCAGTGTAAAGGAATTCTGATTCGTCCATTTTCCAACAGACATACTGGTTGAATCCATCAGATTTTTAATTAATGTAGCCAGATTTTTTTCTCAGTGTGGTATATCCCTGGTAGCGAATTTCTTTCTCCCATGCCTTTTCCTTTCCTTTTTTTCGCCTAATGACACCCGGGAATCGTGAGAAGAAAGATATCTCTGGCACCGTATGATTTCCATTTGCACATAAAGTACTTCCTCGACGGTTTGTGCGATTTCAGAGCCTGCGGTCGCGGATGCTGCGACAGTTTCGCAATAATCGTGAGGTCTATATTAAGCTGCATCACGATTTTGTTACGGTTTCCCGCGTCTCTCCCATGGCACCGTCACGTTTCGCGTCGCGCGTCGATCGGAATGCGGAATACGATTGAGGAACAATGCTTTGTCCTTCTTATCGATTTAATTTAAATCATAAAGATGACAGCTCAAGATAATTTTAATAATTGAATTTACATAACACAATAATAATAATCTGCATCGTATATATCATGAATATGATAGAATATAATTTACATATATTATTAACATATTATTACATATTATTATTACATATTATTAAAATGTCATACATATTATTATTACATATTATTAAAATGTCTTCAAATCATTTGCTTAATAGATTATTATTATTAAGATGCGTTTGCGCGTGTATTTTGCTGCAATAGCGATTAAAGTAATCTAGATTGCGCGTAAAAATCACGTCGGCGTAAAATCAAAGATCGCGTGTTTTCCTATTGAAAATTAAGGTTACTTATCATCGTTTTCCTTGCACAAATGCGCATGCAGCATCGATGATAGCCTCGGAATGTCGTTATGATAATTCGTGAGGCGAATCATTTCGCTTGATAGAGAGAGAACAATCGCCGAGAACACAAAACAACGGCCACATGTACGCTGATAATACCTACGTAATATTATGCGAGATACATATTTCCCTTTCCGCGAGTTCGCGATTGTCTTCCACGCGCAATCTGAATTCCTGGGGATTTGAATCTCTCAATTAAGGTTACTTATCATCGTTTTCCTTGCGTAAACGCACGTGCAGCATCGATGATAGCTTCAGAATGTCGTTATGATAATTCGTGAGGCGAATCATTTCGCTTAATAGAGAGAGAACAATCGCCGAAAAACAAACGGCCACATGTGCGCTGATAATACCCACGAATATTATGCGAGATACACATTTCCCTTTCCGCAAGTTCGCGATTGCCTTCCACAATCTGAATTCCTGGGGATTTGAATCTCTCAATTAAGGTTACTTATCATCGTTTTCCTTGCGTAAACGCACGTGCAGCATCGATGATAGCCTCAGAATGTCGTTATGATAATTCGTGAGGCGAATCATTTCGCTTGATAGAGAGAGAACAATCGCCGAAAAACAAACGGCCACATGTGCGCTGATAATATCTACGAATATTATGCGAGATACATATTTCCCTTTCCGCAAGTTCGCGATTGCCTTCCACAATCTGAATTCCTGGGGATTTGAATCTCTCAATTAAGGTTACTTATCATCGTTTTCCTTGCGTAAACGCACGTGCAGCATCGATGATAGCCTCAGAATGTCGTTATGATAATTCGTGAGGCGAATCATTTCGCTTGATAGAGAGAGAACAATCGCCGAAAAACAAACGGCCACATGTGCGCTGATAATACCCACGAATATTATGCGAGATACACATTTCCCTTTCCGCAAGTTCGCGATTGCCTTCCACAATCTGAATTCCTGGGGATTTGAATCTCTCAATTAAGGTTACTTATCATCGTTTTCCTTGCGCAAACGCGCGTGCAGCATCGATGATAGCCTCAGAATGTCGTTATGGTAATTCGTGAGGCGAATCATTTCGCTTGATAGAGAGAGAACAATCGCCGAAAAACAAACGGCCACATGTGCGCTGATAATACCTACGAATA